ACTTAGCACATTTGCAAAATTTAAGAATAAAAATCGACCTGTTTCAGGTTTTTTTCACATAGTACATAATAACGCTAAAAATGAATTCATTCCATAAATATGGACCGCATATGGACTGTATACTGAAGTTATATCCGGTATCTTCTTTTAAATCAAACCACTCAAGGTACTATGGCGCCTCAGATTAGATTGTAGGGGAGCTAGCCCACGGCCTGCTTCACTGCAACCTTTTTAGATCTATTGTGATGCTCCTTGGTTGTTAGAGCTCATTGCCCAGCTTGATCTCTTTGATAAGACTCCATAGCCTTGACACTGACCATTTCATATAGCTGGCAACCTCTGGTTTCTCTTCCCCGCATCTTGCGTGTCTCAGCCTTGCTCTCGCTTCGCATTCACAGAACACATGCAGTGCGGGTTCTTCCTCTTCTTGACAGAACCTGCATTGGGTTTCTTCTGTCAGACCCATAATGCTCATATAGTTCCTGAGCCGGCTATGCCCTGTTAGTAGATCCACCACTACCCTTACAAGACCTGCGGAAGACCTGCTAATGGTTTAGCAAGTCTTCCGTGAATTTGAGCGATGGTTTCTTTATGAACTCTTTCGCCTGCCTCATTCCTGGGAGCTTATTCCATCAATCTATCGATTCGGCTTCATACATGCTTTCACCATCCCGCAGAAGGGTTCTGGTTCGATTATTGCCTTGTGACCCTCATGACCGGGTACCCAAGCTAGAGTGACCCTAATTTGGTTACTTAGCTCCTTGAGGGTGCTCAGACAGCTCCCCACCAGTCTTGAGAAGTCTTGAAATGAGCTGAGCGCCTCAATTGCCACCTGGCGCTACAGCGCTTCATGAGTTGTGTTTTTTTTATTCCAGTCTATGCGTAGTATCTATGTTTTTTCTGATAGATATTGAAATAGATACTGATATGAAAAATAACTGATACACAATTATTTCAGATCACTGAGATTGTTCTTCAATGACAACAGCTGCACATGCGGCCAACTGGTTGTTGCGTCTCGAGAATCGCAATATAAAATATTACATTTTCACCACGGCGGTTTAGACCATTTAGCCCAAGTCTTACATCAGTGGCATTCTTTACTACATAGCATCAAGTATGCAAAAGGTAAGTTAATTTGACAACAATGTTCAGTAAAAACGATATTTTTTTTCCTGACAACGATCATTTTACATATCTTTGACACACTTCATACAATGATCTTCACGTAATAAAAACGTGATACAAATGTGATACAGAATGAAAGTTACATAGACAAACAAAGGTGGCCTGAAAAGTTTTCAACCTAACATAGCTGAATATAGTCGAAGTAAACTTAAAGTTGACAGCACACTTAAAGTTGGCGGCACTCTTAAAGGCCAAAAAAACCAATACATGAAAAAGAACCGTCATGTTATGGTGACGAATAGAAATCGAGAAATGCGGAGATGGTTATCGCCGTCGTGTTCAGTTCAGGATCTGATCGCGATTCGAGTGTTGAAATTCGATATTGGTGCAGTTATAATTACCTAATATTTTTGTTATCTGTTTAAGATGTGGCGTCCTTGGACAAGTACTAATAGTAATAACAAGTGTGATAATAACACAGACTTTTTCCAGTGTAGTGATTCCAATAGCGATGGTGAACAATGCAAAAAAGAGATATCAGAGGATGTGTTTCAATGCATATAAGAATCTACATCTCAAGTTTGGTTTCGAGGGAAACAAACTATTACAAACAACATCAGATTTGACCGAAATTCCTTTCTCAACTGTACGTAAAATAGACAAAAACAAACCTTATGAACACAAGACGCGATGTGATATAGGATTACCAAAACCTTCAGATGTTCATCTAATAAAATCATTGAAAAAACAGTATACGACTGTTACAGAAGCAATGAGATTCCTACAACTGAACTCATAAGAAAGAAATTGAATACTTTCGGCCATAACGTGAGCTGCTGTAACAAAACTCTTCAGAATTGGATGAAGAAACTAGGATTTAGATTTAGAATAATAAACAAACGTCAAGCAGTTATGGAAAACAGAAGAATAGTGGAATTGCGTAACAAATACTTAGAACAAATAACTAAATATAGACAAGAACAACGAAAAATTTTCTATTTGGACGAAACTTGGTATGACACTCACTTAGACTGATGGTTCGAGAATGTGTACGCCTAACATGCCTGCAAACAAAGGATCGCGACTAAT